CACTCCAGGTTATAGTGTGGACGCCTTATAGATAAAACAGGAGTGTGACCTAACCCAACCCTGGAGCTCCCTCGCATGTTTTGTCCACTTTGATGGTGTAAAAATCTTCATCTTTAAGGGTGTAAGAGACGACTAATTCATTAAGGGTGTTTTAGAGAGGGGGGGAGGGTCTTGTATAGGTGTGTTGGTCGGAGTAGGTGATAAAACATGCAATTAAAACAGTGATAAGAAGTTGCATTTGACTATACTGCCTGTTTTCGTGTGGGTGTCAGGGGGGTGTGGGGTGTGTGTGGGGGTGCGTGTGTGTGTGTGTGTGTGTCTCCCAGCGCCCACATTCCTCTCTCATTTTTAACACACACTGGTCGTTCTCTCTCCATCAAACACCAATAAACTTAGAAATTTTACGAGACTCAAGAATCTTATCTGATAATGTAGGTGTTTTTTTTGTGTGTGTGTGTGTGTTTTTACTCATTGGCGACAGACTAGGAGAGAGATTTTGACTCAGACATACAGACGGACGCCAGACAGGTGTTTAGAGGCGTCATTATTGTTATTATTATTATTATTATTATTATTATTATTATTGTTGTTGTTGCTGTTGTTTAAGTGTTTGTCTGTGCTTAAGCAACTAAAAGATCTCGACGAATATAAGTTAAGAGAGTACAGGTGTGTGTGTGTAGTAATGAGGCAACAGGTGTATCAGAAGCTTTACCCATAATAGGATATATACTCTATATTGAATACCTTTCCTATACATATTATAAAAATTGGCTTATATATTTTATGTAAGTATAAACAATTAAAAGATTTACTTATAATTATTAAACAAATTTTTATGGAGTTTTTATTTATTTTTGGAAATATTTATTATATCAAGTTGTTTAATAATTTGGGTGATTAGTTAACAAGGACAGGTGAAGGTTAGGTTAATTAGTTCTTTGGTTTGGGTAATACAGGTGAGGTACATACATACATACATACATACATACATACATACATACATACATACATGCATACATACATACATACGTACGTACACGCACAGGTAAAATAACCAGTTTGTACTATAAAGATAATTGTCTGACAGGTAGCCACACCCACTGCCTCTCACCTCTCACTGCCTCACCTCTCACTACCTCACCTCACTGCCTCTCACCTCCTCCTTGCCTCTCACCTCTCACTGCCTCTCACTGCCTCTCACCTCTCACTGCCTCTCACCTCTCACTGCCTCTCACCTCTCACTGCCTCTCACCTCTCACCGTCTCACCTCTCCTGCCTCTCACCTCTCCTGCCTCTCACCCTCTCCTGCCTCTCTAGGCGTATCTTAAACCCAAATAATTAAATTTTCATGGTGATTTTTACCTCAGGGAGTTGATTCTGGTGAATGTGTGTGTGTGTGTGTGTGTTTGTCTGTCTGTCTGTGTGTGTGTCTGTCTGTGTGTTTGTCTGTGTGTGTTTGTCTGTCTGTGTCTGTCTGTGTGTTTGTCTGTGTGTGTTTGTCTGTGTGTGTGTTTGTCTGTCTGTGTGTGTTTGTCTGTGTTTGTCTGTCTGTCTGTGTGTGTTTGTCTGTGTGTGTGTTTGTCTCTGTCTGTGTGTGTTTGTCTGTGTGTGTTGTCTGTGTGTGTGTTTGTCTGTCTGTGTGTGTTTGTCTGTGTGTGTTTTATCTGTCTGTGTCTGTCTGTCTGTGTTTGTCTGTCTGTGTGTGTGTCTGTCTGTGTGTGTTTGTCTGTGTGTGTGTGTCTGTCTGTCTGTGTGTGTTTGTCTGTGTCTGTCTGTCTGTCTGTGTCTATAGGGAGCACCAGCGTTCATAATACAACTTCATTTCTCATAACTACATCACAAATTCGATTAAAAAAAAAATCTTATATATTTCAAGACTACATCAATATTTTCTTAATTACTAAACCATTAAAAAAAATATAACACCATATATGGATGTAATTTATTATACTGATTTAATCATTTTATTACAATTGTGAGTTCCACCTAAGTCTAATTAATCCATTCTTACAGGTGAAGGAATAACTCATTTGCATATTAATTACCTGTTTGTTACCTCAAGAAAACATTAAGTGGCGACGGTCTTAGATAAACTTAGAATATTTAGATACAAAAAAAAGGAGAATTATATATATTTTTTTGGGTCTATCTAATCACAGTTAATTATAATAACTTGTCAAGGTGATGGGCCATTAAGTGCTGATTGTTTGTAATACCTTTCGAGTATACCTGGAGATGAGATGGTTAATTAAGGTAGAGAGAGAGAGAGAGAGAGAGAGAGAGAGAGAGAGAGAGAGAGAGAGAGAGAATGAATATATGACTGTCTCCTCCTTCACCATCACTACTACCACCACCACCATTACCTTCACCACCACTACCATCTCCAACACCATCACCAACCTCCAACACCACCACCACCACCACCACCACTCTCACCACTACTATCATCACCACTACACTGTTGGAGATTTCGATGCCTCCTTCACAAGAGATCCACCGACTGTACAGGTGTGTGTGTGTGTGTGTGTGTGTGTGTGTGTGTGTGTGTGTGTGTGTGTTTG